TGAATGAGTGAACAAGTGTATGAATATAGAAACTGCAGGTCTCCTATGCACAATTTCAAAATCTCTATGTTAGATATCTATCTATATAACAGAAATGCCACCTCCTGAAACCCTCTGCCTTTTATCAACCATCTTTAAGAAATATATTTGCCTTTAGGGATCTGGAAGTAAGATGGAGGAAAAAAAGCTTCTTTTTTTCTCATTTCTTTAAATCATGCAAGTGAGACGCTTTTTTTTCCCCCCTCAACAGTGAAAATACAGAGACCTGCCTTGGTAATAGTGACAATAATAGCAAGGATACAAATCAGGAAAGGTAACGAGAGGCCAGATTGTGATGATCTCAAAAAATTGTTTTTGTTATATAGAAACAGAGACATTTAGAATGAACTTCAGACAATAAAATAGTAATACACATCAAAATGACTGAAGCAGACATTGTGTCCCAACCACTGGCAAAAGTAATTCAACAGCAAATTGCAGGTGGTTTGAAACCAATTACAAAATAAGACAGATTCTAGAAGGAATTTAGACTATTCTGTTTATACACAACAGTCTTAATGATGATACAATTATTTCTTCTTTCATGACTAAGAATGTTTTTCCTCTTACGAGTAACACATTTTAAAGAAAGTCATGATATACACAGGCTCTTAAGAATCACCACTGTCAGATTTAATTTAAAAGACAATTACATGTTGCAGACATGCGGGTTTTAACAAAAATTCACCTGGGCAAATGATTCATACCTACCATTCAATTCTGCCTTATCCTGATACATGGTAAAATTTTACTGGCTCCATAATTTATAATTTTTAAAATAATTTTTCTTCTTTTGAAAGAAGATGAAAGAGAAAGACAAGAGGTTTGCTACATGGAAATTACTGCAAAAGTAACTTACCACACTCAGGTTATCTACAGAGGACAGCAGCCCAGATCAACCAGGTGGAGCCTCTGGAACAGGACTGTTTTGTTGCCGTAGCCCAGGGTGTAATTAGCAGGGGTGGGATTAGGGGTGTGGAAACTTAGGAGGCAGATCTGGGAAAGAGGAACTGTGCCAAGGTTGTCTCTACTGCCTGGGGATCCATGCTTTCCTTTTAAGAAAGTGAGCACCTCATTGTATCTCATTCCATTTATTTTATGTGATATTTGGCTGACAACGCTGCTCCCTTAGACAGCAAGACTGATTTATGATTGGGCAACAAAATATTTTATGAAAGCGCAAAGCTTGCTTATTTATTTAGGATTTCTATAATTCATTTACTTCCTAAGGCATTTAAGGATCTTGAAACACGTTTAAAAGTAAGAACTGGGCAACTGGTCTTAGGTCTCTAAAAGGCGAACGATTTATTCATCCTTCCTTCTCGTCAGGTTGTTGAGACTTCTGTTCAAGCTCAAGAGCTGAGTGGTGGAGACAAGGGAAGGTATTGAAGGGTGGTGGGTGGCGTGGGATGTGGAGCTACCTGTCTGGTGCCAGTGTGGGGTTCTAGAAGGCATGACTGTCGTCAGGGAACCCACTGGAGGGGCAATTTCACAGAGAGAAGGAGGAGGCAGGGGCCTGAACAGAGATGGAAAGCAAAGGATGGCTTTAGCAGGAAATCTTAAGACGAATGGGCAGATCTTAGGAACTGGGCAGAGGGATGAGAGAGGGAATGAATCACCTCATGAGTCATTAGATAGGCTCATAAGATGCACAATATTGTAAATAAAAACCTCAATTGTTTCCGGTTGCTGACTGAAAATCTGTTAGTTTAGCAGAGGTTAAAATGCCCTTCCTTCCTCTCAGTGTGACTCTGGCAAGTCGTATTTTCTGTCATGAGATTTGAACAGAAAACGCAAATGAGTCACTTCACTAGAACGGTTTTACCCTAGGTAAGGTGTGTGCACAAAGGGAGTTGCTCCTGGAGGTGAAAGGGGAAAAGAGGGGTACCTGGGTGCTCATTTATTTCAGAGGGGCATTTGCCTTGTCTGCGAACATTCGCACATACCTTTGAGTAGAAAACCAAATGTCTGCACGATCAGTGCTATCTTATTTCAGGAGACTGGGGTGTGAGTTAGGCCTGCATAGCGAGGCCACTAAACCAAAGAGGGAGGTGACATCATTCCCGACCTGGAAGGGCTCACATCCTGGGAAGTGAGACAAGCCTATGGGCTGTATAGAAAATATCCTTAGGATCTTACGAGGCAAGAGGCCATCAAGTTCTAGCGGATCTTGGGCAAATCTCATAATAAAAAAGGCTGTGACTTACTGAGTACCTAGTGTGTGCTGAGCACAAAATCATTTCAACCAGTGTGTCAATATATATCTTTACCATCTGATATTCTTAACAACCCTCTTTGTTATTATCTTCATAGCAAAGATAAGGAGACTGAGCCCAGAGAAGTTAAGTAGCTTGCCCAAGGGCTCTACAATGAATAATTTGGAAGGGTGAAATTTGAACCCAGGTCTCTCTGACACAAAGCCCCCCTTTCCCCACTATGACTCTCAAACACAAAACAGTGGTGAAGCCTCCATATCACAGGAATGTGGTGTGGATTAATGAGATACTATGGGAGTGCCCGGATACATGGAGGAGATGCAGGAGGGTGTGTTTCCCCCTCCCCTGTCATCCCTGCTCTTCCTCAGGACGAAGCTCCGTTTTTCAGGTTCTCCAGTGTCGCCTGTGTCCCCCTCACTTCCTCAGTAGGAGCCTCATCTGCCTCTCTCCCCAGCTGGAGGCTGAGCCCTCTGAATGAGAGGCGGAGACCTTTGTCATTAGCGTGACTTTAAAAGCTGGAGCCAAGTCAGATGAAGGCACAAGAGAGATTCAGGGAGCTATGGGATCACGCTGAAATGTCTTTAGAGTTGTGATCTAAGCCAGTCACACAAGAATAGGAATAGAACCAGGGATTGATTGATTCTATCTAATGGAGAAGGATCCAATGTTCGGGGACTTTACCCATTCTGCCCATTTATACCGATCAAGCATTTTAAAAGGGGCCCATGAAGTCACCTGCGATTGGGGTGAAATCAGCACCCCCCCGCCGGGTCCTGTGTTCTAGTCCTTGGTTCTTTTATTCATTCACTCAACAAACATAGATACGAATTGAGTACCTGTACATCTGGCCCGTGTGCAGTGCTAGGGTACAATGGCAACAACAGGTTTCCTCCCGCTCTCAAGCTGCCTGTTCGGTTTCATTCTAATAAAGGAGAAAGACAAAAGGAAAACGCATGCAACACAAACACAGCCCAGGCAACACACGAGTGAAAGAAACAGCTGCACGTTGTTCTAAGGGCTGGGAAGAAAGTCCTCAAGGGGCTGAGGGTCTGAATGAGGGGGTGGGCAGGAGAGGCCTCCCCGAAGCAGACACGTGGGCAAGAGCAGGTGCTGGCTGTGTGGACGGGCGGGAGGGGCGTCCAGGGAGAGGGCACAAGTCCCAGTGTGAGCTCAGCAGACCCGAGGAACTGAAAGGAGGCACCTGGAAGAGAAGCACTCAGCATTCTCCTGCACACTGCGAGGGGCCCAGGAATCCAGGAGTGGTGGCGGAAAGAGTTTGATGGCGCCATTCCCCAAGAGCTACGCTTTGGAGGAGACAGACCCGTGCCCTGGGGTGAGTGCGTGCGTGCGTGTGTGCGTGCGTGTGTGAATTCGAGCTGGGAAAGTCACCAGGCCGTCTGTCTGGCTTTTTATGACTGAGAGCTGTGGCACGGCCACACCACCCAGCTGGTGCTGCTCTTTGCTTTGCAAACAGGCTCTGTAGCTTTGGGGCTGAGAATGGGTAGACTTAGTGGTTGATGACCAATTCCCTGAGAATACTGATCAGGCTGGGTGTGTGTGACTCCTGCCATTGACCAGACTGCTTCAGAGGGTCATTGCCATGTTCAAAAAGGGCAAAGTAGCCACTGGCCTGTGTCATGTAGCAAGTTCTGTTGACATTGTCCCTGGGATTAGCCATTTAGTAAATGTTTATCAAGACAATAGAGCAGAGTGGTGCTGAGTGTGGCCTCTGGAGCTGGAATCACCACTGGCTCACGGTGTGACCTTGGACTAGGTAGCCACCATTTCTGTGCTTCAAATTTCTCAGAGGGTAACCGTCAGGATTAAAACATGAACACGTCCCAGCACATAAGCACACGATCAGTATTCAGAAAATACTGCTTTTCTTTCTTCTTCCCTGAATTAGGAAAGTAGAAAAAAATGAAAAGAAACAGAAGAAGTAGAACATGCAGGCTGTCCACGTGGGATACGGACAGTGAGGGAGAGAGAAAAACTGCAACGGTTCTTGAGTACTAGCCTGCAACACTGCTTGACAGTTGTGTCACTTAAGGCTTTTTCTGACTCAAGTCATAGAATATTAAGCAAAAAAAAAAAAAAAAGGGATATATTGCCTCATCTCTGAAGAATCCTGGGCACACAACTGGCTTTAGTGCCAACTTGTTCCAGGGCCTCTCTGTGATCAGGGCCCAGGCCTGTCCTCCTGACTCCCCTCTCCTCGGTGTGGACTTCATTCCCTCTCAGACTTCGCGTGCCCTGTAACGGTGCAGGGACTGCTGACAGCTCCAGGCTTGTCCTCTCAGAGCCTGTATAACAAATAGGCACATCACAACGATAGTTAGCACCCATACTTGCTTCCTGCATCACAGGCTTACTGCGTACATAACCTTCTGCATATACTGAAACTTGTAATTTTCACAAGAATGAGGAAGACAGGAAAATTGAGGCAGATTAAGTATTAGCCCAAAGTTACAAATAAGAGGCAGTGCCAGGATTTGGGCCCAGGTGGTCTGGTTTCAAGGTCTGTGCTCTGAAGTGCCTGTTCTGAAAGACAGCCACCATCTTTTTGGATCCAACTCAGTGCATTCACTCTGTCTGGGTTCCTAAGGCTAGAATGAGGTGATGTCCAGTCACCTAGGCTGCAGTCATGTGCCTGTCCTGAAGTGGGCATGGGGAGATGCCACCTAGAGCTCCTGGGCTGGGGAGGGTGCGGAGGGAGAGATGGACAGCAAATGGCTCTTGGATACTCTCTTCAGAACAAACAGCAAAACAAGAGCTTTCCATCACAACTGAGATAGAAAATAAAGAAGAGAAAAGGGTTTTAGGGAGAAGACGATGAGCTTGGTGTTAGAAGGCCAGAGTTCAAAGTGCTAGAAAAGCATTAATGTGAAGATGTGGCTCATTGGACCTATTGAGTTATACTTGAAACAAGGTGATATTAAAAGGGTGGAAATAAAATAATAGGCAGAGAAATACTGGGCAAATGAAAAACAAATGAAAGCAGGGGTAGTAACATTAATATCAGACGCGGTGAAACTGCAGTCTAAAAGCACTTACAGTCTAAAGAACATCTTTATATAGTAATAATAAAAGACAAATAATAAAGGGGATATAACAGTCATAAAATAGACATCAAAGGACTTAGCAGCTAAACACGCATAGGCAAGGAAAACCTTATAAACACACAATTATAATGAGAGATTTCAAAATTGCTCTCTCACAATTAGCCAGAAGTAATAGTCAAAAAAAACCCTATTCATTATGCTACATACCTTAAATTTATACAGTGCTCTATTTCATTACATCTCAATAAAACTGGAAAAAAAATAATTCAGACCACCAAAATAATACAATGTAATACTAGTCAAAACATTATTCAGATGAACTCAATAATATAATCAAACAACTTGATATAGTACATATAAGGACCTCTCCCATCCTAAAAATAAAGAAATTTTTTTCATAAAAATGTAAAATTATAGATACATGATAAAAGGTGACCTAAAATTGTAAGTAGTTAGAAATTAAGGAAAAAACTCCTTGATAAGTCTTGGATCAAAGTGGAAATAAAAAGGAACTCATTAGTCTCTAGAAACCAATGAAAAGGGAATCACTTCTATTGAAATGTACAGATTTACACTTGTATTGAGAAAACGGTGCCAAAGAGGAATATTTAGAGCTCTAAAAATGCCTTTGCAATTTAAAAGTAAAACCAAACAAAAAAAGAAGCTAAATATTTATTTAATTTAGAAAAAGAAAT